TTTTATTTTATTTTATTTTATTTTATTTTATTTTATTTTATTTTATTTTATTTTATTTTATTTTGTTTAGTTTTGTCTCTCTGTCTCTATATAATAATATAATAATATAATAATATAAAAATATATATTTTTATTGTATTTGTTTGTTTCTCTCTGTCTCTTTTTATTATATTTATTTTTTTCTTTTTCTCTCTTTTTTCTGTCTCCCTTTGTATTGTCTCTGTCTCTATCTGTCTCCTTCTGTTCTCTGTCTTTGTCTTTCTCTTTTATATTTTATTTATTTATTTATTTATGTATTTATGTATTTATTTTTTTTTTTTCTCTTTTGTCTCCGTTGGGGTGTATCGGCAGCTCAACCCTTTCTCACTCAGTATATATCCAAACGTCCGCGGCTTTGCTGCTGCTGCTGCTGCTGCTGTTGCTGCTGCTGCTGCTGCTGCTGCTGCTGCAGTTCCTGCTTGAGTCGACTGGGGGTATCGCTGGAGGAGCAGCAGCTGCTGCTGCGGCTGTTGGCTGCTGTGCTGCATCTCGGCAATATAAAATTTGAATCTGCTGCAGCAGCAGCAGCAGCAGCAGCAGCAGGAGCAGCAGGAGCAGCAGGCGGAGCAGCAGCAGCAGGAGCAGCAGCAGGAGCAGGGTCTGTTGCTGGCGCTGGTGACGGTGTGTGTGCTGCTGCTGCTGCTGCTGCTGCTGCCGGTGCTGCTGTAGTCTCTCCTTCAAGCTCTGCTGCTGCTGCTGCTGCAGCAAGGCTGCTGGGGCTGCAGCAGCAGCTGCTGCTGCAGCGGCTGACATTTAGGGGGATTCGCGATGTACAGAAGCAGCTAACTGCAGCAGAAGCAGCAGCAAACAGAGACGCTCTCATCAAGGTCAGAAACACACTGCTGCAGCAGCAGCAGCAGCAAGTGCAGCAGCAGCAGCAGCAGCAAGTGCAGCTTTATAGTAGCAGCAGCAGCAGCAGCAGCAGCAGCAGCATCAACAGGCTTCATAACCATCAGCAGCAGGGGAGATGGCAACAACCAGCAGACATCCTCTTGCTGCTCTGTACCTGCCTTGATGCTTTTGCTGCTGCTGCCGTCTTGCTGCTGCTGCTGCTGTCTTGCTGCTGCTGCTGCTGTTGCTGCTGCTGCTGCTGCTGCTGCTGCTGCAGACACTGTACAGCCGCCTCTTTGATTTTGTCGTCCACAAAATAAATATATCCCTCAGCAACTCCCCAGCACCCCAAGCAGCAGCAGCAGCAGCAACAGCAGCAGCAGCAGCAACGGCAGCAGCAGCAAGTCCTGCAGCAGCAGCTGCAGCTCCAGCAGCAACAAAAGCAGCAGGCCCAGCAGCAGGAACAGCAGCAGCAAGAGCTGCTGCTGCTGCTGCAAGCGACACCGGCTGTAAGTTATTTTAATTTTGCGTTTTCTGTCCTCGCAGCAACAGCAGCAGCAGCAGCAGCAGCAACAGCAGCAGCAGCAGCAGCAGCAACAGCAACAGCAGCAGCAGCAGCAGCAGCAGCAGGATATGGATTGCTTGTGTTGTTTGCTGCTGCTTGCATGCGCTGCTGCAGCAACGAGCGCAGACACCTGGCTGGGGGTGCTGGACGTTTTTGGATTCGAAGACAAAGTCAGCTCCTCTTGTCTTTGTCTTTTTTTTTTATTTTGTCTTTTTCTTTTTTTTATTTTGTCTTTGTCTTTTTTTTTATTTTGTCTTTGTCTTTGTCTCCTTTTTTATTTTGTCTTTGTCTTTGTCTTTCTTTTTTTGTTTTGTCTTTGTCTCTCTTCCTTTTATTTTGTCTTTGTCTTTGTCTCCCTTTTTAACTGTATCTTTGTCTTTGTCTTTCATTTTTATTTTGTCTCTGTCTTTGTTTTTATTTTTTAATTTTGTCTTTGTCTTTCTGTTTTATTTATTTCTTTAAAATTATTTTGTTTTTCCGTGTGTCTTTGTCTTTTATTATTTTGTCTTTGTCTTTGTCTTTGTCTTTATATTTTATTATTTTGTCTTTGTCTTTATTTTTTTTATTTATTTTCCGCTTGTCTTTGTCTTTTTTTTTTAATTTTTTTATAAAAAT